CCTAACTGTTGCAGACAAAATCTCCTGATCGATGCTAGGTTCCGTGGGTGAAAGAGGAGAGATCCACCTGTCATAATCTCAAAGCTTCTCCGTAAGTAGTTACTAACCTCAAAGGGAAAGACAGCAACTTCACAGTGAGAAACCCAGCAGAGACTACCTTAACCAAGTGATTAACGTCAACAAACCCAGGGAACAACACACACTCATGCCATGAACTTCATACACAAGAGGGACATCGTATCAGTGGTGTTCTTGCTCAAAAAGTGTGCAATCATGATCATCATAAGAAAATGTTAGACATCATTAGACAAATTCAGATAAGAACACCTGACAAAGTAACTGATCAATATTGTTCTAAAGTATCGAGGTCATAAAGGATAAGGATAAGGAACAGTTACAGATGTGGGGAAACTAAGGCAGAGTGGCAACCGCAAGCTGGAGCCTGGGTAGACCCCAGAACGGTAAAAGAGCATCAGTGCTGAAATCCACATACGGTGTTTCATTTAGTGGATAGCATCGCATCAAAGTGAATTTTCTTTTTCTAACAATTGCATTATGGTTACATTAGATTTTAGCATTGAGAAAGCTGGGTGAGGAATATTTGAAAACTATCTGTATTTTATTTTGCAACTTTAAGTCTAAAATTAGTTCAACTTAAAAGTTTTAAAAATATGGTTTACAGAGAAGACTCAATTGAGGATGTTCCCAATTTCAAATTTCCTAATCATAAATTACAACTTTGAGGAAGATTAAAAAAATTTGTGAAAACATTAAATAGTAAGGCCTTGCTTGTAAAAGAATTAGTTGGAGACTTATTTTAATATCCTCACCCTTTGTATCTGAGTTGGCCTCCTGACTTTGTTTGACCGATAAAATGAGGCCAAATGATGTTCTACAACAGCGTTACAACCTTTTGCTCTCTGCTGGAGAAGAGAGAGGCCCACCCACCCACCATCCCCAGCAACACAACCAACTGCTCAGGCTTGTGAGAAAGGTCCTCCTCATCGAGCCTCCAACCAACCCACCGACGGCATGCAAGCAGATCAGTAAACCCCCTTCCAGCTGAACCCTGCCCAATCGTCAACCCACACGATGGTTAGAAAACAAATGTTGTTTGAGGCCTTTAAGTTTTGGGGGTGATTTTTGTTCTGCAGCAATAGCTGATTAATACAGGTCACAGGGAGAGATTAATAGAGTCCAACACGGATGACGCAGAAACGCTTGATTTAGAATGTGGCTTTTGAGCTTGGAGTTGAACGATTTAGAAAGGTGGGGAGTGGGTGCAAAAAGCTTCCTAAGTGAGAAATGAGGTCAGACCTCAAGGCAAGAGAGTCCAGGAAGTTCTCACACAGGAAAGCGGCAGTTCGCTTTGGCTGGAGAGCGCCACGGCGGCCTCGGCGATCCGTACGTGGCAGGTACAGCAACACAGAGCTCACTGCTCACTCCTACCACCGAACTTCCACCAGAGCACTTGCGTGGTATAAGATGAGCGGATCGTTGGTGAGCAGTGACACAACTTGTGCTGTTTCGTAGTGATACAGTCATGTTACTACCAAATGAACAGCACGGTGTCCCATTTCTCTGTCCTTAGATGGCACGAAGAAGAGTTTATGGTTCACAGCCCTAGTGCCAGAGGGGAACTTTCCCTGATACCTCGATAAACCAGGAGGAGAATTTACTCAGTAATAACCTTGCGGCTTGGATGAGGTTCACGTTCAGACACAGAGGCACACGCTTGCAGATCTGAGAGCTGAGGGAGTTGTCTGGACTATCGTGCCAAGAGAGAGTGGATTTTAAAATCTCAGACTTAAGCAGAGTGTCCAGATAGCAAATGGATTTTCAGTCTTTAGAGCTGGGGTATGAGACGTGGCTCTTGTTTCTACTTAGATGATTTCGTACAATTTAAGAACACACAGGTTTTAATATCAGGTTGACTTGGGTTACATCCTGGCTCTTCCTACTGCTGGATGTGTGATTTTAGGCAAGTTATAAAATCTCACTGGCTTTCAGTTTCTCATCTGGAAATTGGAGGTAATAATACCTACCCCACGTGGTTTTTATGAAGATTAAATAAAATCATATATAAAGGATAGCCCAGTGCCTGTCTTTAATGAATATTTAACACAGGATGTTATAAATTGTTCTTTTTTTTTTTTTTTTTTTTT